CTTACCTCTCCTCCACTCTTCCTCTTCCTTTCCTAATATCTCTCCTTCTCTTTCTCTCCCTTCCACCCACCTCTCCTTACCTCTATCTTATTCCCTTACCTCTCCTCCACTCTTCCTCTTCCTTTCCTACTATCTTTCCTTCTCTTTCTCTCCCTTCCACCCACCTCTCCTTACCTCTATCTTATTCCCTTACCTCTCCTCCACTCTTCCTCTTCCTTTCCTACTATCTTTCCTTCTCTTTCTCTCCCTTCCACCCACCTCTCCTTACCTCTATCTTATTCCCTTACCTCTCCTCCACTCTTCCTCTTCCTTTCCTACTATCTTTCCTTCTCTTTCTCTCCCTTCCACCCTCCACTCCTTTCCCTTTCTTCGTCCCTCCCTTCTCTACTTCCTTCCTCCTCTCCTTTCCTTCCTTCTTCCCTCCCTTTCTATTTCTATTGTTATAGCTGTCTCTTTCAAATCCCAGTTTATGTTTTCTTGGGGATGGTTTTTCCACATTTTTTTTTTCTTTTCATCACGACAGTGGCGAGGCCCTGCCTCCCCTGACTGCACGTCCCTGCTCCCAATGGTATGACAATCAAAACTACAGTTTTGAAGAATGGAGTTCCTAGTTTAAAAGAATTTAATATCTTTAAGTCTCTCGGCTCCAACTATTTCACAGGTTGCTATTGAGGGGAGAAAATGAAAAGGGAACCCAGGCAAGATGCTCTGAGGGAAGGCAGGACATACTTGTAACAAATAACATTATTAAACCAACAACAAGCTCAAAGTTGACATGAGAAGAGAAACAGTATACAAATGCATTCAACATGTCATAAAATACTCTTGACCAGTGAGTCAAGAAAAATAGGGATGTATTAGCAACTAGGAATGAACACAAAACTTGTATACAAACTAATACCTTGTATTTGAAAGATTTAACTGTTCATAATGTATGGACTGCATCCTCCTGTGAATACATTTTATGGTTTTAATTATTTAATTTGTTTTTAAATGTGCTAGCTGCCCCAAATCACACATGTGAGATGATGAATAGCTGTATAAATTGAAGGGATTAATAAATAACTATTGCAGCTTGACCAATACTGCTTCTAGCGCAAGGGCATCATATAAAAATGGGAATTAAGAAAATATTGAATATGATTTAACATATATGAAGTGTGTTAATACACACAGAGATGACGTTTTAGATTGAAATAAATCCAAAGTATCATTCTCAGACTTCCATATTGTCTCCCAGGATAACGGTAGTGCACTGACTTTGCTGCTGATGCCAACCTCTTAAATCAGTACATGTTTGTACAGTAAAAATTAAAAATGGAATATTCCACCAGAGCTGCTTTGTAGCTGTTTATCAACTATCCTGATATTGCACAAAGGATAAGTGAACAGATGTTGATGCCAGTCTTTGAGACTGCAGAGGAAGCAAATAGAAAGCAATCATTATGCTCCAGGACATGCAATAGTGACTGATGGCTGCATCCCTGCATGTGTGACCAAAAAAAAAAATTATCTGTCTAGGATACTTTCCAAGCTGTATCCTCTTGTAATTGTTTAGCTTGTCATGCTACTCTACAGTTAGTCCCTGAACTGTCAGTGTCACTTATATTTTGGGCTTAGAAAAGGCTTGGTCACAGGGAATTTTTGTTTTCTTTTCTTTTTGATCTTCCCTGATAAGATATTGGATTGGATTGAGTAACTTTTATTGTTGTTTTACTGTATACACAATGGCACACATTAAAACGAAATTATGATACACTGCCCTTGAAAGAGGGAAAAAAGATTCACTACATGCCCCACCATTTCAATGTAACTTTCCAGAATTTATGGAATATACTCCATTGTTTGAACTGATAAAAGCAGAACATAGCCATGAACTCAAGAGAAGGTGTCTGTTGAAAGCTATTGGTACACCAAGAACTGTAAATCTGCTCTGAGAAGGAACAGAGGGAATGTCCAAATAAGAGCAGCTTCCAATAATTGTCCCAAACAGTAACTCTGAAGAATTTCTGCAGATCTGTTTGGTAAATGAAGATAGGAGAACATTGCAATTAAAGTGCATTTTGTGCTTGACAAGTTAATGCAGGGGAAGCATTCGGACTGTTGGCACTCTACCCTCAAAACGCTGCCGGGTCACAACAACTTGTGCAGTGATTCAAAAGAAAACTTTACTTCACTTTCCAAAATGCCCCTATAATGGTTTATAATTCTACCATTAGTCTAATCCTATTTACAGACCCAGGAAACACTGTTTACCTAAAATAAGAATAAAGTGGCCAATTCTGCCCCATGCTATGTGGCAAAACTGGGGTCCCCAAATTGGTCACTACCAGGTCATGGCCTATTTGGAATTGGGCCATACAAGTGTTGGGCCGGTGTGCGCATGCAGCCCTTGCACATGTGGCTGGCTGGTGGGCACTCGTATGTCAGCCCAATGCTCAAGCAAGTTGAGCTTCCTGTATGCGCCGACCTGCCACTTGCGCAACCTAATTCCTCTCCTTTTTGGCCGGGCCAAAAAGCCGCAAAGGTTGGGGATTGCTGCTATAGATCACTCTCGGAAACTGAAAAAAACAGCCATGAAGAAGGCAATGGAAAGCCAGTGAAGCCAAGGAAACTAAATAGCTATATCAGGGGTATCAAACTTGCATCGTCAGGGCATTGTCACATGATGTATTGTGACTTCCCCCCCCTTCGCTAAACCAGGTGTGGGAGTGTCCAGCATGTGATGCATCTGGCCCATGGGCTGCGAGTTTGACACCCCTGAGATATATGTTAGTCATCAGGAAGTAAGCTTAACCCAAATCCAAACCCAACTGTGCTAGCTTTTGGATATAGGGTGGTGGGAATATCAATAATTCTTAGAGGATGCAGTGATCTGAAACATCTTTTGTTTCTTTGATATTATTAGGTTCACAAAATGAAAGAAATACGGCAAACAAAAAAAGCATGATTGTCATGATGACATAACAACAACAATAACAGCAGTTAATTGTTGCATTTAATGAGGTTCTCTAAGTATAGGCTTGCAGAATTGCAGTATAAAGAAAGCATGTAAAGATTGTGTGTAAAATGTAAACATAAAAGTAAGTATCTTTGCTTCTTTAGTTAACTGCAGGTGTCAACCAACTTACCTCTTTAAGTGAACAGTAACAAGGGGAGAACACAATTTTGCAGCAGACTGTGGTAACAGCAGGCCTACCATAGCCTCATGCAGCTGATTCACCTTTTCAACTTCACCTTTGAAGGCTACATTATTAAGGATTTGGTAACATTGTGTGACAGCTGAATCTTTAATACAGACATTCTTCTCTTTCATCTCCGTTAAAATGTTAATAGCATCTACAATAAACCATAGCAAAAAAAAAGGCTTAGGTAATTTTATATACAGAAAAAAACAAACTGCTATTAAAACAGCCTTTCAAAAACCAGCAGGAATGTAAATTCTGTGTATAATGCCAATTTCAAGTTAATTACTACTTGCATTTCTAAACGAGACTACAATTATGAATCCACAAAGCATGGTTTTATCATTTTGCTGCAACTTTGACTACAAATTACAGATGGGAACTGTGAGCCCACTCTGCACCACATAACCCTGTAGAGTCTGCCCTATAGCAACAAGATCCTACTAAATGGATGCTTTTATCGTTTGGTGCTAACATCTGCTAAATCACACCATTGTTTCTTCAGCAGATGGCTTGTCACGAGGCCAAATAATAAAGATGTGTTTACACTGTATATAGAGCCAGACTAATGGTCTGATACCGATAGGGCCTGTTTGCTGTGTCGATACTAATTAGCCAAGGAGAGCCAATGAAAGCTTTCTAAGAGACTGCATGTTAAAACATTAGGTTCATTAATCTTCATTAGAAAGGCAGAAACAAACATTTTCATATATGGAATAAGACCATTTTTGTAATGTTCTTAATTACTGCACAAGCAAAATGTTTTGACTACTTTACATAAAAGCATCTGCTGAAATATATCTTGCAGCATGCTATGGGGGCTTTTGAAAGATTGACATAATAGCACCTTTTAATTGTATAGGTATCTGATCTAAATATCAACTCCTTTTATGATAATTGCTCTAAAACACATACAAAACACACACAATGTGCATATTATACATACACATAATGTTTACCCTTTTAGGTAAAGAAATTTAATATAAATCATCTAACAGAATCTCACATTCAAATTCACTAGTCAGTGTCAGAATATTTTTTTTCTAATTAACTATGCCAATAACTTACAGTTTACAAGTCTTGTAACACTCACTTTTAAGATCTAATCCTATATTTCTTTTAAAAAAACCTTTTTTTTAAATCCAAGAGTGCTTAGACACTTTTCAAAGAGGTTATGTTTACAGGCTTTACACTCAGGCTTCACACCTTCTTAAGGAAAAACAAGGCCATTAGTCAAGGCACATATACAATTTGTGCCATAAGCCATGATCTTCAAACTCAATCCTAACAGCAGTGCTAATAAAAACTAGCTGCAGAAATGCAAAAAGCACTGAGCTGTGTAAATGTAAATGACAAGCTTGCCAGTCCATTAAAACTAATGGCCTACATCGTCCAAGTATCTCTGGTTGAATTCACATGCAAATTTGGATGTAAAATGTTCAAGCACTTTGTAGGGCATGATATACCATTAATATTTTTATTCTAGTGGAAAGATATCTGTATTATATAACAGTAATATACATTGAAAGAAAGCATCTATTGCTTACCATCCAGTCTTTCATGTTTCGCCAAAATCTTAATCAATTCTATATAAGCGCTTAATTCAAGAACCTCAGATGAATCTTTACGGCAACTAAAATATATAAAAAGAAATAAATCAATTCTTATGTCATACTGTCCAATAATCTCAATGCTCAAGCTGATGCACGTTCACCTAGAAATAGAACATGGAATGAAACTAGTCTGAGTAACTGGATAAAATGATATTATTGCTGAAATATTAAGATACTGACAGAAGCAAATTTGTTTGAAGACATCAAATTAAATGCAGCTGCATTAATGGAGGGCTTGAGACATGAATGTAAAAAGAAACAAGTATTGGAAGGACTAAAGGGCAGTGCCTTTGTTTTTAATCTCTGTTTTAAAGAAAGAAAACACTGTAAATTGTAAGACTTATGTAAAAATATGCACAAGGCAAATCTGAGGTATATTATCAAGCAACACTGCTAATGGGCTATATCAAGGCTAATATGAACTAAGATTCCATTGACATAAAATGGGCATCAAATGCCCATTATATTTATAATTGCACTAGGACCCAAGTATAAGCTTATGCTGAATTTAATGACACTTATGTCTTTGGGATTGCTGAGTGATATGGTTGTAAAACATGGTGTCCTATGATTGCAATTGCTTAGTGATGACCATTTCAGCAGTCCTAGGCAGTGTTGTAGTCCCAGGAAGTATAGGTCATTAAGCAGGAGGGTATATGAATCCCAGGTAAAGAGTGTGTGGGTAACATTGGGGGCCTGGTGCAGGCTACATGCTAGTTGGGGGAGGCTGGGGAAGTGGGGTGCTTCAGCACCATGAGAGCAGAGGAAGACTGTGGAATGCAGTGCGTAAGATCGAATGAGCACAGGAAAGCTGGGAAAGACTTACTGAAGTGAGTTGCAACCTTCCCTGCCGGCTTCCCATTTTCTTTGTTTGTGGGGAAACTGGTAGGGACACTTATAAATTGCAGTCACATGATCATGGCTTCTAGCAATGTCATAATTTCAAGTCAAGCACCCACCCAGATAGTGATCATATTATGAGCAATGGCTGGAACTTCAAGATTGGTTGTATAACAATTTTTTTTTCACCACCACTGTAAGTTTGAACAGTTACCAAACGGATTGGACATAAGCCAAGAACTTCCTCTAATGAATTTTATTATTTCTTTATTATAATATTCCATTAACAAAGGACTGTTCCTCAGGCATAAAGATTTTACGATAAATCCAATTCCCAGTCACAATCATTGCCAAATGAGGAAATATAATACAAGGGCTCATACTGTTTGTGACTATAGGTTAGTATATATGAAATATGTAATTCTGTAAGGACTTTCATTTGTTTGCAAATTCTGTAAAGGGGGAACAGACTGAGCAAATGCATTTTATAGATCATCTAAACTGGAGAAAGCACTATTTACCATGAAGATTAAAGAGATGTGCAAATTTCAACTATATTTGATGGATGTGTCAGTGTTAGAAACATTACAAGAAATATTTGTATGTGTATGAGACTTTGCTTTCTCTTGAAATACTGATATAAAAATAGTGACAAATATTTGATACAAAAATACTTCATGTGGCTCCTCTTCAGCTGTTAGTCAGCAACATAAAATTTACTAGACAGCAATAGAGGAAGACAACAAACAATTCCACCAGTATTTCATACCCCTTCTATGAATATCTGTAACTGGGTATAATGGAAGAACTATTATTTAACCGTTGAAGGTCAAACTTTTTTTCTTCACCCTTCCCCAATTCTTGTACTTTTGGGGTCATTTAATTAATATGGATATGGATTTTTTCACTGAATACTGTATTTTTTGCATTACAAGATGCACTCCACCACCCCCCCCAAAGTGGGTAAAAATGTCTGTGCATCTTATAGAGCAAATATTGGAGTGGGGGGAGGGGGGATAGGATTCATCAAGGAACACTGGAGCCTTTGCTGCCAAGCAGCTGATTGCCGGTTGGATTGGCCTCCTGGAATACTGCCAATCAGCTGTTCTAGGCGGTGGGGATCACTGCTGCTGCCAATCACCGCCGCCATTTGGCGGTGGTGGTGATGGCAATCCCCAGCACCTACAACAGCTGGTTGGAGGTATTCCGGGAGGCCCATCCAACTGCCAATCAGCTGCTCAGCAGTGAAGGCTTCAGTGTTTCCTAGTGGCGGCAGCAGCTCAGCTCAGTTGACCAGTGGTGGGCGCAACAAAATGGATCCCTCACAAGCCATGTGCTGCGCTGCAATAATGTGCTGAAGCTGACCAGGCTGTTTGTTGTAAGGACGCTAGCCAGATGAATACCGGATGGATGCTGGGAGGCAGAGGCAGATTTTTGTTTTCCTCCTCTAAAGCTAATGTGCATCTTACGGTCCAGTGTGTCTTATAGTGCAAAAAATATGGTATATGTAACCCACCAAAAAGCATTTTCGGTTCAAGACCGGAAACAAATATGTTAAAATAAATTAATTACTTTAGCAAGTTCAGATGTATAACAGCTTTGAGTTGTTAATAAAGTTGCATAACAGTGGTGGATTAAGCCTGGTACGCTCCGGTATGGGCGTACCAGTGCTTGCTGGGAGCATCAGGTACCGTTCTGGTATGGTGCTCTGGAGGCCCCACCCGCCCGCTATCCTTACCTGTATTTGACCCAACTGGGCCATTTGCCAAGCAGCTGGAGCGTCGCGGGCAATGGGTACAAATGCACACACAGTGCGCGTGCATGTGGTGGAAGCCCGGTCCCGTCGCAGCGTACCGGTTGCGACAGGATCCGGAACCCACCACTGTTGCATATGCTGAATCACTATCTTTGAATGCCAAAATAACCAAGGGAACATCGTAAACTGTTTTAGTTAATTATACTTATTTGTTTTAATTTAAAACAAGTATCTCAAGAGTACAATTTAAAAAAAAAATTAAAGAAAAAATTAAGTGCTAAAAAGCACTTTGCTTCTTGACAATTCAGTTATTACAAATTTTAGCTGGGAGCTAATTTTCATAATCAAGCTGTTGCCTTTTGAAAAACAAAAAACATAATTAACTGACGATAACTTTTAAAATAATACCGCTTACAAGAACTGCAGCAATCTATACTGTAGATATATTACTAATCAGAATCGAAAGCTAGATACCAAGAAATTCTAAAACCTCATCCGAAATAGATTAAAATATAATACAGAGTAATATGAGCGTAAAACACTAACAAAAGTGCTGGCACAAAAGCGATTGTGTAATCATGACAGCTTACACAATCAATTTTGAATTTCAGCAGAAAATATTTTGTGTGAGATAAGCTAATTAAAAATGTATGGGGGGTGATAATATTCAACCTACTTAATTCAATAAGGACTGTATATCAGCATAAATGTCTCTGACATCCTTCAGTGCCAGTGTACTTACAATTCTTCTTTCAGGTTCATTGCTTCCTCTACATTATCATTTTGACAGCAAAGGCGTATTAAGGCTCCATAGCCCACAACATTCATGTCGAATTCATATTTTGCTTTTACTGCAAGAGCTTTCTGCATATTCTAGAAGGAACATTAAGCAAAAGATACGAAGTAGAAAAAGAAAATCAACATGACATTTTATATTCTACTAGGAAATTACATTTATTTATATATGCTTACACTTAGCACTGCTTCTTAGCAATTCATACACTTTACATTTATGTGCAAATGAATCTTTTATAAATTAGTAAATAGTTTAAATATGTCCATTATAAACTTTTATCCTGTGTTGCAATACATGCTTTCACTGATTTCTGAAGTATGCGTATCATTAATTACATCACATTGTACTTCATGACAAAGCATTTTCACATTTTATACCTACAGTTAATATTTCACAATCATTTAAATATATCAATGAGCAGAGAACATACTAAGTTGGTTAATTAAAAAGAAGATGAATCCAATTATCTGGCATAACAGGATATAAATGGAAAGTTCTGATATATTAATATATTTTAAAAATTAAAATATAGTTTAATTTACTATGAAATCAGACATTGCATCAGTGCCATGTAAAACAAAGTTCAGAGCCCATGTATAAGAACTCAGAGCAAAAGAAAGTCCTATACAAAAATATGAATTACAGTTGGATGCCTGCACATTAAGACAAGAGCCTCTGCATCTCAGAAAGCTTTTCTTCAAGAAAAAAAAATGGAATTTCAGTTCCCACATTAACCACCTTTCAATATTTGACTTGCAAATTATTATACATATATCAGTTGCTTGACAATCTAGTTGTAAGAGACCAGAGCTGTGGCTTGAAAGGACACTTGGCATGTATGATAAACCTTTCACAGCTGTTACTATCATTCATTTTGCAGATTACCATTAACAGACTTCCACAATCTCAAAACATGTCATTCACGAGGTAACTAAAAATCAGCACTGAGGGGTTTTTCCCACAAATTTTTAAAAATACTTTAGATTTACAAGGAGTAAACCTGAAATCCAGGAAACATTAGTTTTTCCTTAATCACCTACATGCATTTGGAGTTTGACAAGAAACAAACACATATAATTGTATTTGTTCATTTTGAGCTTTAATGACTTTTATAATCTCTCCCTAAGTCTCCCACCAATATGAAGTCTCCTGTGGCTAGGATTTGTATTTTCTTAGGTTACTCTGTAAAGTGTCATTTAAACCTTTGGTGCTATACATAGTTAGAAGTATTTAATTTACTTATCATACTTTGTTAATAATACAATAAGCAAATCTGAAAAGTACCTTTTCTGAACACAGAGCAATTATAAAGTTCTTTAGAATATCTTCAATGGGTTTGTTTTCAGCTTTAAGTTGTTCAAGTTTCTCCTCAAAATTATGTGAACCAATTAAGGACTAAGGTAAAAAAAAAATAGAAAGATATTCAAATAATGTTTTACAATGAAACACATCTAAGCAACAATGTGTCTTATTGATATACTTTTATTTTTGCAGATGTTATGTGTAAGTTACAAAAGAAATCCTAATGTTACTTTTGAAAAATGTATTTCTGTTATCTCAGTTGTGGGCAATGCCGTTGAGTAGTATCAGTCATGTACTGCTCTAAGATTCATATTGGTCTTAAATAGGCTTCTCCCACTGGGAGCAGGTCCCCCATTCTTCTTTGTTCTCTGTGCGATTCCACTGCAAGTGAGGACAAACTAATTTGTATATTCCGTCATCTTCTGCATCAGCATGGCATAAACATGGCATGAAATTCTGAACAATGAATAGTTCTATCCTTAAAAGGAAATTAAGTCATAGCAACCAAGCATTTAGGGTTTCAAATCAATTTATGGAAAAGTCAGAAATACCAGGTAGAAATTCCTTAACTAATGCATATTTTTACTATTGCTAGGATCAAAACTCATTTTTTTTTGGTACAATAAAAATTGGAAGCCATGTATTCTGGTTATGTAGCAAAATTATTTAATGCCAACCTATTTAAATAGTTACATACATACACTTAACATCTGCTCATCAGAAGCCAATAAAATTACACTGTAAGATAGGATTAATGGCTCGATACATATTTGAATATAAACATCAATGCGTTTATGATAATTTAAAAAACTCAAGGAATGTGTGGTTTTGTTTTGCTGTTAAGATTGCTATCAACATTTAAGAGTTGCCCTGTCTAATTTGTCTCCTTAAAACTTTAGTATTCTGTCTAAAATATGCTTCCTTATTTCAGAAAAGGATTAAATAAAACTTTATACATCAGGCATATTCAGTTTTAAGGCTACTACACACTTGAAATGAATATGTTGGTATATATTGTATGTTTTATATAATTATATATAAAATAACATTTGCCATTACAGACCTTAATTAAATTGGGAACGTTGTGTTCAGTCAGCAGTTTGCTAATACCTTTGTAGTAGGCAGGAAGAATTGTCATGTTCTGTAGGAAGAAGTGGAGAGAATCATGTGAGTTTTAAAAGCACAACCCCCCCTTCCAGAAGGCAGTAAGGAGGTTCTCCCATATAAACTTTATTTCTGTTTCATTGAATTTTTCTCCTCAGAATACTATTCAGTTTCTGTGTATTTAGATCCTCTAAGGGCAACTTCAAGGGAACCTACACAATTTGGGTTGTAATGGCTCTCAAATTAAATATTCTTTCATTATGCCCTGAGAAGAATGCCTCCTTCAAATGAACCTTGCAATGATTGTCTGTGTAGTCCTGCTTGACCGTGGTTTTATATCTTATTATATATAGGTAGTCCTCGACTTAGCACAGTCCTTTTAGTGGCTGTTCAAAGTTGCAAGAGTGTTGAAAAAAGTGACTTGCGGTTGTTTTTCACACTTACCATATTTTTCGGACTATAAGACGCACCGGAGTATAAGACGCACCATGATTTTGAAGAGGTAAATTTTTTTAAAAAAGTTTTTGCATTCTACAGGCCTCTCAAACTCTCTGCACCTCGTTTTTTGCAAAAAAAAAAACAAAAAAAAA